ATCTCACGGTTTGTGAGTTCGAGCCCTTCATCGGGCTCTGTGCTGATGGCCAGCTCAGAGACGGGAACCTGTTTCAGATTCTGGATCTCCCTCTCTCTCTGACCCTCCCCTGCTCACACTGTCTCTCTCTCAGAAATAAATAAAACATTAAAAAAATAAATACCTTTTAAACAAAACACATTAGGCATTGGGGAAAGCATACAAGAATGCTTCCTACCTTCAAGAAAGTCTTAATCAAGGATGCAATCTCTAAGCTAGTGTAGTGTGGGTGTGCAAATGAGGGTTTAGAGCAGGTAAGAAAGTGCAGGGGGGTGAAGCATGCAGAATAAAGGACAAGATTGTCTGACCTCATTGCTCAAAGACCTAAACTGTCAATGAAGGAAAACACAACAGGCCTAATACCAAGGAGCATTCAAGGCAGAAGGCTTAGACTTTGGAAATATTTAAATTTGTTTTGTTCCCCAGAAAACAAAAAAATTCTATACAAATAAAAAGTAACAGGGGCACCTGGGTGGCTCAGTCGGTTAAGCATCCGACTTCAGCTCAGGTCATGATCGCATGGTTTGTGGGTTCGAGCCCTGCGTCGGGCTCTATGCTGACAGCTAGCTCAGATCCTGGAGCCTGCTTCAGATTCAGTATCTCCCTCTCTCTGACCCCCTCCCCCCAATACTTTCTCTCTCTCTCTCAGAAAAAAATAAAACATTAAAAAAATTTTTTTAAATAAAAATAAAAAGTAACACATTGTGTTAAACGTCCAGTATGTAAGTGGTATGCAAAAATGGATGTCCTATTTAAGAAATGCTATTCAGAGTAATGTCTCCAAGTAGCCACAGCCAATGCTTTTAATGTGCATACTATCTATGGAAGCACAAAGCCAGAGGTGAGGGCTAAAGTCAAGAGCAGGAATCTGAACAGAGATAAACTCCCATTGGGCAGAACAATTTTCTTTAATCTTTCTAAATAATCTTCAGACCAGCTTCTATGAACCCCTTAGGATTGGGACCCTAATAAAGTTCATGGCCTTTGAAAGCTATTTATAAAAGTTTTCTGAGAAGGTTACACAAATGTATTGTCTCAAGCACTATATAACTAAAAGGTACAAACCTATTCCTTAAGGGATATCCAAGATTTTAATGGATTCTAAAACTATCTTTATATAACCTAGGGCTTTGCAAAGAAGAAAGTAATCTAATTGTATTATCTAATTGTATTTATTATATACACAAATATTTATTTAAATATGCTGTGATGATTCTGTATCATCATAATAATAACCACCATTTATGTTCTGAACACTAGACTAAGACTTTACACATATTATTTCCATTAATCTTCATTTTTAAAAAAGCTATAAGACATTATTAGTATTCTGATTTTAGAGAAAAAGAATTGGGTTTATATAAGCGAAATGACTTCTCTGGAGACTTACAATCACTAATTGGCAAAGCCAGGATTCACACCCAAGCCAGTGTGGGCTGAAACAACCAGTACACACACACACACACACACACACACACACACACACACACAGCCATTGTGTTTGCTTGAGTTATCACTTTTCAAACGACTTGGTTATGAACACCATGACAACTTCTACTAACAAATCTGATCTCCTGTGGTTGATCCTAGAAACACACCAAAAACCTCTGTCAAATCTCATTTTGAAGTCCTTAGTATACCAAAAGGTATGAAAATTAACCATTTCTTTCTTCACAATTATTTCACACTGTGAAAGAAAGCACATTGAAAAAGAAAGGTGGAATAGATTTTAAGATTAGATATTCTCTTCCTACTACATAGGGAGGCTAGGATAAACCTCTGAGTTATGATTAAACATCTATGATTTTCATTTATTCAGACTCACGTTCAAGCCATTATTTCTGATATAGTAACCCTGTCAGTGTTAAAAGCTGCCAAGTGACAGACTAAATTTCAAGTTCACCTTTGAATCTCTGGTCAACCCATAAAAGCTATGCATTTGCTAATCCACGATTTTAATGGAAAAAGAGTTGGCATATTAGTAAAATGTTCGGTTTAGTACACACAAGTCAAATTGATGCCATTGTGGGTGGGTTGCTTTCTAAAACAAAAACAAAACAAAGCAAAACAAAAAAAAAAGCAGGGCCCAAAGAAGACTCTATGAGGACATGAGGAAATGAAACCTCACAGGTTAATGAAAATGAGAAATAGAAATCCATCTTTAAAGCCAGAGTTTTTGAAAATATCTCTTAAATAAGACTTCTGAATATGTAGAATTTTTAAATGAAGGTAAAGGCTGGAATGAAACTCTCTAATTTAAAATAACCCGTGGAGGGGCTCCTGAATGGCTCAGTCAGTTAGGCTCTTGATTTTGGCTCAGGTCATGATCTCAAGGTTCAAGCCCGATGTCTGGCTCTGTGCTGTTTGGGATTCTCTCTCTTCCTCTCTCTCTGTGCCTCCCCTGTTTACACTCTCTATCTCTCTGAAAAGAAATAAACATTAAAATATAATAATAAATAAAATAAAAGAATCTTTGGAATCTTTTCTTTCTTAACCAAAGATCTACCATAAATAGCAAAAAAAAAAACAAACAAACAAACAAAAACCCACACACTTTCTATTTAAGTCTTTTGTTTTCTCCTCTTTTTTGTTGTAAAGCCAATAAATTTTGATTCTCCAGGTACTCTTCCAATAGGTGGTTAAAATTCCTGAAGGCAGCTGAGAAAGACTATTCCAAGTTCACCACACATAGAATGCATGTAAATTGATTTGCGGATATGTATCTTTTTCAGTATTTCAGCAAAATATATCCAGGTTGCACATTACATGTTTGTATCCCTTGATGCTGCCTCTGCCAAGAAAGGTACCAAACAATACTGGAAAGAAGCAGAGGTCCTGAGACCTGGAGGCCCATGGATTTACAAATCTAATTCTCCTACATTAACATTTAACAAAACAGGAAATAGTAGTTCTAGTCCTGCATTTATGCATTTTTGCATTTATGCATTTTTATTGACCTGAAATCCAGATTCCCTGTTCATTATTATTAAAGTCTGTTCAGAAATTTGAGAACAAAGAATGGGGCTAAGTGTTTAGTGTTCTTAGAAAAACTACTTCTCCATTAAAGAAAAAAAACAGAGATTAAAAATCCCACAGCTGTAGAGCCAAGTTCTTTGTTAGGCATGTACAGCTTCCTAAATCCCATAAAAATCTCAACATCTGACCCGTTTCATTTTTACAAAGGAAGGGACTATCACACTGGAAAATATGCGTAAAAATCTGCAGCATTCAGAGGCATTAAACAGTTTTATTTCACATTTGTTTCCTGTGTATCCTGCTTGATAGACACACTGTAGCACCTGCTGTTACTCTAACTCTACTCTCCATCCGCTCCCAACCTTCTCTTTCCAGAAGGGATTAGTGAGAATCTGTCAGAACGTCTGAAGTAATGCTGCCATCTACTGGTCACTTCACAGAATGTAATGAAATCACTCTCCAAAAGAACACAAAGGAATGGAATGGATAAAAACGACCAACTAGAGAATGCTGGCTCTCTCATAACTTTTCTCAACCAGTAGATTAAGACCAATATTATTCAAAATGGCAACACCACAATAATTTTGTTTTAAATTGGATATGTTTTCGAGAGAAGCTACTGTAGAGAAGTAGGAGTTTTTATCTAAACATTAAATTGGTACTTCTGATTTTTCTAAATATTACTTCCATTATCAATTGTTTATTTTTTTCAAAGTAAACATAAATAAAGTATGTTAAAACTTTAAAAAATAACAATTATATATGTTGAATTTTAATATTAGCGAAAGTATTTTCAGGAAATTGGGTTCTCTTCAACGATTCCAAGTTTAGAAAAACACTCACAGAGCAGAGGGGTGGTGGAATACAAGTTCATGCTGACAAAAATTACAGTTTTATTTTGGAATTTTACCAACGTACAGTGACAAGTGAGTAAATATACTTTTCAAAAAAGTTTCTTTTCAACATTAACTTTCAGGATCTGAAAGCCTACCTACCGGAGAGTTCCATATTTTCAAAAGTTATTTTTTCTTTTGCTCCTGTTATTGCTATAAACCATGAACTCTGACGTATAAATGCAGTTGTCTCCTCAGATCTGTGTGGTTGGGAACTGCATTCCAGTCTAGGGTAAGTCTCCATGCTTCTAACTTAAAGAGATCATCCAAGTCTCATGCTTATAACTTAAAGAGATCATTAAGAGGTAGGCTCTTCTCGACAAACATTAACAACATTCTGCTCACAGTATATCAGAAGAATGGATACCTAATCCAGAACCAGTTTTAAAAGGGAAAGTCCAAGTCTCCTACCAATCATTTATAGATGGTAATGCTCCTCCTTTAAAGTTATTTATAACCACTTCAGAAAAGTGAGACGAATTTATTTACTTTATCTAATGGCAAGACAAAACGGCTAATTGAAACCATTTGTAAAATGCATCCTCATTATATATTGAGACAGGTTTTCTTCAAATCACTGTTTTCTAGACAACTATCTCCCCTTATCTTTCCATTTTTTTAAAGACACATCTCTAAATCGGTTAGTTCACCTGTATATCGAGGGCCCGACAAGGGTCTCTGTAATAGATCTCTAGTTTGGGAGCCCTCACTGCTCTGTATCATTGTTGTCGGCCTGTATAATATGGAACAAGTACAGGTCAGAAAAATCCCGCACAGCCAGACTCCGAGTGCAGAGCACTGTAACGGGATGGCCTGTGGAAGATGATGCCCGCACGTTTTAGTTTTGTGTAAACGGTCTTCCACATCCGTACATTCCTCTGGTAGGAGCCAACTAAATTGCCATTGTTAACTTATTTTTCAGGCAGTAAAATGTATTTGTGGACTCAGAGTATGTTTATGGTTCTCATCATTGATATTTTTCACTTACACACATCAATTTACAAACATAATCCTTCTACGTATATTAAATACAGAATATTTTTATCCTCAACAAAATGACAAATCCCGTAATGTCTTAGTTAATTCACTTACCCAAAGGCTGCTTGGGGCACGCCCTGGGATTTGGGACTGTGTCTTCTTAGCTGGAAAATGAAGGAATCCAACAAGACCATTTCTCGGGTCCTTCCATCGTAAAAAATTCAGATTCTAACTGCCAAGTAGAGTCTGCCATGGGAGAATCTCGCCACTTCAGGCCTAAACTCCAGGCCTAATTCTCTCTGGGCAAATGAAAGCATCTTCTCCAGAAATATAGGAAGAAAACAGCAAGGCCACATTTGGTCAGCCCACATAGTTACCTCAATAAAATAACACAACCAGGAATGGGAATAGAGGCAAGGTAGCTACGGTGAGAAAACAATTTACCACAATTGCCATTATATTGACTTCAGATGATGATATCAAAGAAAGCATGTGTGTCATTATATAAAATACTAAAATTCCCTAAACTTTGTATCATTTAGCAGTAAGCGAACTTTGGAAAGTGACCGTGATAAGTGTAATAGAAATATACTTTTTTTTCTTTTGCACTAAATGATTATTCTTAAGTAGAGCTCAGAATTACATAAGAACCCCTTCCTGGTAGTCTCTCTCCAAAGGACTCAAATCAGACATGCAGTAATTTGGGGATTGCCTAAGGTGGAAAAATGATAGAATAAAAGAAAGGTCTATTATTTCTCTGCACAGTTTAACTCTCATCAAGGTATCCAGTCGATAATCAAAGAATCAGAATTAAAGGCTGAAAGGAATAATTTACATGCTCGCCCACTCAACTTTTACATGGGTGGTTTGTTTTTTGTTATATGTTATTTGTGTGTTGGGAAGATAATGCTTGGTTATTTGTGTTTAAAGTAATATAAATATTATTAAATGTATTTTCTTCTTAAGTAAGAGTTTGCATCGTTCATCCAAACTGGCAGGTAATTTCCAAATTTGAATGCCTTACAAGGAAGATACAGTTAACCATATAGGTAGGATATACTGTTTTATTTTGCTGCTCTGAGAAGACCTTTTAGCACACAAGTACAAGGGTGAGGACTGGCTACGATTACAAGCAGTTTCATTTCAATAAAAGACCATTGCAGTTAGGACTGCGATCACCAGGGAGAGCAACTACGGCACCTCTAGCCAATGCACTAGGAGTGGAACTGGTCAGCGGAGGTTTCAGCTCATTAACATGTATTTTCAACTCATGATTTACAACGTTAAGTGATTGCTGACCTTCTAAACTCAAAGGCAAATGTTGACATTTTCTCACTTTTTTTCAATTTTAAATTTATTTATTTTTTTTTACAAATAGTTTATTGTCAAATTAGTTTCCACATAACACCCAGTGCTCATCCCCACAAGTGTCCTCCTCCATGCCCATCCCCCCTTCCCCCCACATCCATCAGTCCTCAGTTTTTGTCAGCATTCAAGAGTCTCTCATGGTTTGCCTCTCCCCCTTTCCCCCACCATTTCCCCCCTTCTTCTCCCCCTTGTTCCTCCGTTAAGTTCCTCCTAATCCTCCTATATGTGCAAACATATGATATTTGTCCTTCTCTGCCTGACTTATTTCGCTCAGCATAACACCCTCAAGGTCCATCCATGTTGCTACACATGGCCAGATTTCATTCTGTCTCATTGCCATGTAGTATTCCATGGTATAGGTAAACCACATCTTCTTGATCCATTCATCAACAATAGCTAAAACATGGAAAGAGCCTAAGTGTCCATCAACGGACGAATGGATGAAGAAGATGTGGTTTATCTATACCATAGAATACTACATGGCAATGAGAAACAGTTTCTCATTTTTTTTACTGAAGAAAATAGTGTGTGGAGTAAACTGATAAATTCTTTCTACTAAGTTATAATACCATGAACATATATTTCTCTCCCACTCCTCCCTCCCTCTCCTCCTTCCTTTCTCCTCTTCTCCTCCTTGGTCTCCTCCTCCTCCCCCTCTTCCTCTTCCTTCTTCTTTTTCTCCTCTCTCTCTCTCTACCTCCTTCCTTCCCTCTGCCTGGGAGGAAAAATTTCTTCTGCCCATTAACGTCCTTTTGGCTGGACCAAGAATCAAGTTAACCAAAGACTGATTAACAAGAGAAAATCAAATTTAATTTCATATGTACAGGAAATCCATACAGACATGGAAATTCAAAACACAAGCAAAAGGAGGTATATATATATCATCCTGAACTAAAGAGAAGGGGGTAGGGGTCTGGGACTCCAAAGGCAAGAAATGCAATTCACAGGAAGATGAAAAAGAGTAAATGTTTGGTAAACCAGTGTTTGTTGGGCCGCCCAGAAACAAAGGGCTACAAAGAACTTTGATCAAACAGGCCTTGCTAGGTTCCTCTCTGTTTATCATACATAGTTCGTATCATATAATGTAGTTCTCTGTGGTGACAGCTCTCTGATGGGACCAAGTCCTCCAGCCTTTTAGACAGTTGTTGGGGAAGTAAAGAGCTTTCCCTGAATCTACTAGGTTTTGATGGCCTTTAACTCAAAATAATCTTCATGCCAAAGTGTTCCAACTTGAGACAGTCTGCCCTCAGCCCCTACACTTCTTCTTTTTTCTGGTCTTTCTTTCCCTGTTCCTCCCCATCCTTCTTTCTTCTTCTCTAGCCGCACTCCACCCCCACCAAAATACTGCTTGCTTTCAAAATGTTGCCTTCATTTGCCACAAATAAACTGAACACCTACTTTCACATTGTCATTATGCGAGAAAGTACTGGAGCTCACCGTTCAGGCAGGTTTCTGCTTCAGGAGCCGTTGCCCATTGCTCTCAAGCTAGGACAGGAGATGGGCGGAGGTTTTACTAAAACAGAGAAGCCTCTTTGAGGACCCGCTCATTTCTTACCTGTTTTATTTTCACTGCCACCCAACAGGAGAGTTGCAAACTGTAACTGAATGTTAGCCAAACCTACCTCTGTCCTGCACGCTGTTTCCAACAGCGCTCCAGATGGTCACCATGCTACCTGGAATGCTTTGAAGGAGGCGCGCGTCACATGACAACCATGGGCAACAATCAAGGTCATAACAAGTGTGAGTTTTATACCTTGATCACAGCCACTTAAAAATCTGCAAGATCTAATATACATTAATTGCTCTCCGGATAAAGTTCTGAATCCTGCGTCTGCCCTTCAGCATGGCTCACATGATGTGTGCTATCATTTTCATGGTTTAGAGTAAAATTTCTAGATTCTTTACGTGATGGAAATTTAGAAGATATGATTTCAAACTGGATGATTTCAAAATCGAGCCGGTGGCATGGCGTTGGTGGTACAGTGTAGCCGCCTTCCAAAACGCAGCTTGTGGGTCAGAGTAGGAAAGGTTCTAATTTCTTCTTAAAAATTACACGTGGGCTCCCTTCTGAAATTCTGGCGTAACTGCATCATTTTATAATCCACATGTGGGGAAGCACCTCCCAGCAAGTCACAACAGGCGCCCACTTAGCAAAACATCTGCTGACCCTTGCAACTCACCAAGTATATCCAAGTATCAAATCCAAAAGCGAAGACAGGGCTTTTAATTTGTAGCTTTTTTATGTTAATGTTTTATTTCCCCCTTATGAATCTCATAGCTATTTCTTTCTTTATGTGCATTTTGCTCCTTTTAATCTGGTGGCAGCGCTATGAAATATCACAGGCGTTTCACTCAGTGTTTCTCTAACAAGCCAACCAAGTACAAACAGGATTTTTATATCCATTTGTAAATTTTAGTTGGGGGCAGCTGAGTTGAGAGAAGGAAAAATAAAAAGACAAATACTACATTTGTGTAAGGTTTAATTCACATCACTTGTACAATACTGTGCTGTTGGCATGTGTCTTAATAAATAGGCTTCAAAAAGAAATCATTGCAATGTGAAAATAGTTTCACTGAATTCACATGCTTTTTACTGTCCCCAGGTCTCAAAGTGGCTTTTAAAATGATTTCTCAGACTCTTAGCTCTATACTCCGTATTGGGATAGGATCCATTTCTCTGCCCTGCTCCCTAGAGTGGAGCTGGAGTGAAGGCAGGCTGAGACAGCTTGGCACCATTCTAATCTAAAAGAGACCCCACTTGGGAGATTCACTACTGTTGCTAGAAAAAGGGAACATGAGAAATTCAAGTGTCAAAAGAGGCTGGGGAGTTTAAGCCTGAGACAAAACCCACCCACCTACCTACCTACCTATCTACCTTCCTATCTAACTAACTAGACTACAGGCAAGTCAAATCTGTTCATCCAACAAAAAATATTTGAGAGCCTACCGCAGCAAGCACTATTCAAGGCCCCAGAGATACAGCAGGGAACAAAGCCAATGCTTCTATCGAGTTACTCTGTGGACTGTAATCTCCAAAATACACCTGCAGCCTTGCTACTCTCCAAATGATGCCATTTTCCCAAATAGGCCTGAAACAGGCCTGCTCTGAAACGGGTCACTCCCGACAAAGCTCAGTGTAGTGGAAGAGAAAGGAGTTTAACAAAAGCACACAATTATGAACCAAAATCTTTTCCTCTAGGAATGAGTTGCAGAGTTTCAATTTCTTAGTAGTTTCTTAGTTGTAAAATAACCACGGTCACCTCTCCTGACAGCCTCCCAGTACATAATGACCCCCCAGCTAGGGACTGTGGATTCTGCAACAGCAACGCAAAGAACAAATGCTACCAGGAGTAGTAAACTAATGCCCACTGATCTTCCAAGAGTGCGAGAATCTTTTCCTACGGGGAGCCTGCTGTAGTTAGTGCTGCTTCCTGAATCAGCATGTCATCCCTGTGCAGGGGCCGTGCTCATCTCTGTGTTGTTTCCACTTCAGTATGTGTGCTGCCGAAGCGAGCACCCTGCGTAGTTCTGGCTTGTTCTCCCATTCGTCCCTTACCAGGTACCAGCTTCTTACTGCCCTCTGCTGGTTAAGTCTGAGGTCAGCCTTTTTAACCGGCTGTGATTTACCCAACTCTTTTACTAGACAAGTAAATAAACGTGCTTGGCCACGGAACATTAACTTTTTAAAAACTTTATATTAGTGGTACTTAATGTTAACCCCGAGAGAGCCCTATACCATCATTTCATGTAAATATGTTTTCTTATTACAAAAGCAACACATGTTGAATGAAAAAAATAAGCAAAAGGTAAACCAAAATACCCACCTTTTCAGAAACAACCACTAAAACCTTGATGTATATTTATATATTCCTTTTTTTTTTTTACAAAATGTGGTCCTATCATACATTTTGAATATTGCCTTAAAAATATATTACCTGTCCTTCCATATTGTCCATTTTTATGGCACTGTAATATCCCATTATGTAATTGAAACACCTCTTAATCATTCCCCTAGTTCAACCCACAAAAGTATTTCCAATAGTCCTGCGGTAAATCTAATGGCCATAATCACTCTTCTCTTTGTAATTGGCCAATAATGTGTGCTCTTAACTAAGGGCACTCTGAATGGATGCTTTATACTTATTCTCTCCCTTTATCATCAAAACCCCAAAAAGTTCATGGGACTTCTTGGGTTGGCAGGGTCCCGAGATGATTTACCACCAGTGTCTCCACCTTTGTGTATTTCACAATCCAGTTTAGTTCACAAGGAGACTTGAAAGAGATGGAGCTTCTATTTGTAAAAGTACTTCTCTGTCTCCTCTCTGGCACGTCTCCTTTCCAAAGCCAATTTGCTGCGGAAATCAAACTAGGAATGTGGTGATGATGGTCAGTGACCAGGGAGCCAAAGAACAAAAGCAGGGGAATACTCAAGGGATCCTTCGTGCAAACCAGGAGGGAGCTAAGAAGAATGCCCCTTTGGGGTAGATACAGAACCCTCAGGCTACTCCTGTTCCCTCGCTTTTGAAACTTTCCAAGCAGCCAGATTGTACTGCAACTTCAAGCAGCAGACTGTGATTAGATTGTGCACAGTTTAGATAAAAAGCTGGCTTCAACACCTTGCTTGGGATAAAGCAGTTTGAATTCAGGTGTGCTTATGCTGTCTGAAGCATAAACCATGTTTTTTTAGAAAGGACTCACAATTATTTTCTTGCCTGGGGAGCAAGCACCAGTCTGAATCCTTCCGAATGCTCTCGTGCATTAATACATGGTCCAACTCCCAAATACCGTAGCACCCTCTGAAAGAGGTGACCCCTCTGGCCCCAGCGCCTGGCCACCAGCAAGGAGCCAGGCCTCACCCACCAGGTTCCATACAGGAAGACGAGGGAACCTGGCGGCCTCGGTGTTGGACACCTCCTTACCCAGCCTCCATTGCTCCCGCTGGAATTTACTACTTCTGTTCTGGCTTGTGGATTGAGCCGAGGATTCTGGCTGGGAAGACAAGGTCCTTCTTACCCTTCCTTCCTTCTCAGCCTGTCCCATATTCAGTCTGGAGTGTTCAAAGCTATGATCTTGTTTGGCTAAATATCCTCTCCTTGGCTAAATATCCTCACCTTCCTCCAAGGGTCTCTGGAGTACAGAAGAGAAACTAAAAGCTTTCGTGTACTTAACAGATCTCTTAAACCTAACTGTACACACATCTAAAAGGAAGTTAACCTCCACTTTAAGGGCTACATTGGCCTTAACTGATTATTTTCACTTTTTTAGGACTTGTAACACCTCCACCTACATTAATGGTTGCATTGCCTCTACAATCCAGTTGAAAATGAACAAATTCTTGTTTTTAACACACACCAACTTAATACAGCTCTTTTATTACAATTCCTCTGTGGATGTCCTGGTTCATTTTTTAAAAGCATTTTTGCTTACCAAAAATACATGCAAAAGAAATCTTAATAAAATTAGGACCAAGCAAAAACAACAAAGTAAAAACAAAGTTAAGGACAAAGAAAATGGAGTATTTGGCTTGGAGATTTCTTATAGCCAAAGTGAACAGGAATGCTGAGTGTCATGGACCACGAGAGCAAGAAAATAGTATAAAGTCCCTGGCTCGGGTATGTTTGGGTTCAGGTGGTTAGTCCTCAAGATTCTGAGTGCACATAGCAACTGGTTACACAAAACTATCATTTTCCCCAGTGAACAATGAAGACGTCTGCTTGGCAGTTCACCATGGCTGAGCTCCCTTGTGAATCCTGTAGAAGCTACACAGACAAGTCACACCTGCTACATTTCACTGGGTTTCGAGGAGTAGGAGACTGCCAGGTACAGAGAAAACTGCTCTCCAGCAGAATGAGCTCATAGATGAACTACAAACCAGAGGGCTGTGTGGACTAACTAAAGCTAGCAGTGACTCACAGTAGTGAAGAGGCTACTGCAATCATTTGAAGTCTACAGGAGCCTACTGTACCTAGACAAGGTAGGAGCGCTGAGGATGCCCAAGATCTCCGCTTTGGAGAATTGGCACAAAGTAGACATCGATGCTCAGTGCACAGCTTCACATACACCATTCAATAACTATGTTCTTCTAACTGAAAACTTGAAGTTCATTGAAGCATACAAAACTTGAGGTGCAAATGGGTGTTGGTGGGAGGCTCCCTAGTGTACACAATTTGCCTAGAGTGAATCAAACATTAAAACTGATTGGAAACGTGTAGCAACATGGATGGACCTTGAGGGTGTTATGCTGAGCGAAATAAGTCAGGCAGAGAAGGACAAATATGTTTGCACGTATAGGAGGATTAGGAGGAACTTAACGGAGGACCATGGGGGAGAAAGGGGGAAATGGTGGGGGAAAGGGAGGCAAACCATGAGAGACTCTTGAATGCTGAGAAACAAACTGAGGACTGATGGAGGGGGGGGGGGGGGGGGAGATGGGCATGGAGGAGGGCACTTGTGGGGATAAGCATTGGGTGTTATATGGAAACTAATTTGACAATAAACTGTAAAAAAAAAAAAAAAACTGATTGGAAACAAAAGGAATCTGCTGCAGGTGAGGATGTCGCAGGATGAACAGAAGTAAACAGGACCACAGGCAAAACCTGCTTGTTACAATGGATAGAAGCAAAAGGGGCTGAGTGTTGAGTGTGGCCAAGGTTAAATATGGACAAAATTATTCTATAAAATGCCAGCAAGAGGTCAAGAGGAGAGCTGTGAAGCTACTGTGTTTGACCAGAAAGAGGTCTTGGGGAATACACACATTTTAGCTGAGAACAGAATACCAAAAAAAGGGGGGGGGAGGGGAAGGGGGGAATGGAAACCACCTTTAGAAAGATTTTGAGGGGCCGTTAAGGTAGTACTTAAGAGGTGTAGGATCAAGTGTAGAATATTCCCTACAGATTTGACGGTTTTGCAGCTGAAGGGACAGTAAATATGGAAATACCAAAAAAAAAAAAAAAAAAAAAAAAAAAAAAAAAAAAAAAAAAAAAAAAAAAAAAAAAAAAAAAAAGTCCTGAGTGACGTCAGTGGGACAGAATATTCAGATTAGCATCTGTGAAAAAACCAGAAATGCTGAGTGCCGCAGTCCAACATGACCATTTTCCTTCGCAGGAACTACACTTCACATACACCATCACACCTAAGAAAACACTTGAAAGATCGGGTTTTTCCTACTGCAACAGTGCCAGACACGAGGTGTGCTTCAGATGCTAACAGAAGCCAGAATTCAAAGCAAATATAAATCCTTCCTTAAGTACCAGATAGGTCTGCTTGACATTTGTCAGCTTGACCTCACGCTACATTATCTTAAGGAAACTATCCATGATGCTTCATAATTTAATTAGATCAAGAACCTTCCATTTGAGGCCATACACCTCACCACTGAAAACAGCATATGAAGGACAACCAGCCTTTAAGGATACCAGAGGTTACAGACCTAAGTGAAGGCAGACCTTAGGCGAGGGCTTAACCCTGTGAGATTTCCAACATGCAACGAAAATGTAAGTGAATATTCAAAACCACATCTGGGGCATCTGGGCGGCTCAGAGCAGAACAGTGTGGAGCCTGCTTGGGATCCCCTCTGCCCCTGCTTGGCCTGTCACCTAAACTTAAACCAAACAGATCTGGCTCCCGGAAATGTATACCAATACTGGGAAACTACAGGAGATAAACTCCAAGTATCCCCATAGAACAATTTACATGGAATTCTGATGACAAAACTTGCCGTGATCCTACCTGGCTCAGTAATTCAAGCTCACACCAACATAATCAACTTGCTAATACATGGGTCATCACTAACTCTCCCCCTGCAGGCTGGGACCCGAGTATATTGAAGCACAGAACACTTAGTGCGACCTTCAATCTGCTGTCAAGAGCTGTAAAGAAACACCCACTGTGACCAGCCTAAGCCCATTTCTTCGGGTCCTAGGCTATTCTACTCTAGTCTCAGTTGGGATAAATGTGCACCCCACCCCCCAAAAACTCTGGCTGTCAAACTAATCACTGCAAAGCTAACTTTACTTAGGTCATTCTGTCTTCAGTTGTCAACACTGAAGTTACTTAATGGTTAGAGTAGGCTTTCATTTAGAAACCAAGAGACATATAACCTGTTTCTAGTTACCTGACTAATTTTATAATGGTTAGCTTTTGTTCCATTAACAAAGACCTTATTTTACTGTCCCAAATAAAAAACAGGCGAGGAACAAGAATCAAGTTTTTTTATTTGTTCATTTCTTGCATTTGAAGTATTCCTCAATGACATCCTTGGCCTGAGACTCTTTGCCGTAGTCCTAAAAAATAAAAAGCAATTTTTTTTTTTTTTTACTAACATTTAAAACTCTACTAAATTGTTAGCACTAGTTATGGGAAGTTTTACAAAATTACTTCATGTCTTATGAAAATGTTTCCCATCGCTAAAATTTCTTGTAGCCATTTTCAGGGACCTTAATGACTTCAATGTCTTTAAGGCTCGTAACATGGCATTACTATTGCCAGCGTTTTTTTAAGTTTCTGCAGAAACACATTCAGCTAAGCAGATTCATTGGCTGGCTTAATTACAGCCTATTATTTTCCTTTTCTGAAAGACAAGAACGGACTTTGAATGTTGAAAATCAGATCTTTTTCCTGAGGAGGTTCTGGACTTTTAACAATTAAAGCTCAATACAGAATTATGCAGTCTCCCCGCACAACCTTCAGAGACAAAAACAGACTTACCTTAACCACCACACAACTGCAACCAACCACTTTACGGGGTTTCCCCTCTCTGTCAATTTTACAGAGGCCAACCCATTCCCCGAGCTTCTTGTTGTCATCAACCTATTGGAGGAAATTAAAGACAAAACCAATCACTGTATTAGCAGACATGAACAGCTATGGACAATCAATCGAATACAGAAGGTAGCTGTAGTCAGACAGGGTGACATGGCAGTCTCCTCACAGCAGTTCAGTAGAGGGAGCCAGTTGTCATCATGCACAGCACCAGAATCACCTGTAAGCACTCCATTTCCTCTACCAACACCAGTTAGCAATCCATTCTGCAGGAATGAAACACTTCCATAAGCTAGCTTTAGCACAGCCCCAAATAGCAGGTTCATGCGATGATTTTCACACCATCAGAAGGCAACAATAAATTTGATCTGGTATCAATAACTTTAATCCAAACATGACCCTAACTGGCTCAATTTTCATTAAGCTAAAGTACCTCTCAATTCAGAGAAATGGATAACGTACCTTAATGAGGTTGATTTGGTGCTCAGCACAAAGAGCCTCCACCAACTTGACATACATCGGCTCATCACAGTTGGACGCAAGCACACAGAGATGGGCTTGGCGCCTGAAATGCAAAATCCAGTAGAAACCAAAACTCAAGTCTGAGTCTACTACTTACTACCAACACTTTTAATCATCACAATGGCTACACTGGCAAAACACAAGCAGCACACCCACCGGAGAACACAGCTGCTTCAGTCTGAGAAACCTGTCGAAGAGCATACACAGTCCTGCATCTAAAGAGCCACCAGACCTGCAGAACTCCCTAAAAATACTAAATTTACGTAAAACCAGTTTACCCATTTGTGGCCAAAGCAAAATCATCTTTTCCTGCAAGCCACTTAGGCATGTAAAAGGTGAGGCACAGACTACCATTAGCGCGGTTACCGGTTACTGGCCTCGAAACTTACACTGCAGCACTGCCGCTGCACCAACAGGGCAGGAGATTCTCACCAGGACCCGAGGGGCTTCCAACAGGGAGTGCTACTCCCACTGGGATCAAGAGGCCAATCTACACAACAGCGAACTAAACTTGAACATTTAATCTGGCTATTAGAAATGCTCAAATTGCACGGATACTCTGCTGAAATACTGAACACATAGTTGTCTTGCCAACTTAAACAACCTGGAAACTAAACGGATGCTTTTCACAAATATTTCACTCTTAGGTTGATTTCTACGGCTACTACTTTCTGAATTCATTTAAGTCTAGGTGCTTCTGCACCATTAGCTTGAAATTCGCCAATACAACTTAACAAGGATACCTACCTGTCCTTTAGTGTGAAATTAGCCCCACAAGCCACAGGTTTGTCAGACTATTAGGTTTCACTCATAGAAAGAGTGAAGGGGTATCCGACAATTTTAAGTCATCATTCAAACACTGTAGTCTTGCTTTAAGAACAAAGTGCTCATTCCCACTCCAAACAAACCCACAAACTGGAAGTGGGCTACATAGATCTGAGTTCTGATACCTTTTCCTAGGTTTCCTGTAGAACGGATGCCATTCAGAACTTTTGTGCTAACACCATGAACTCCACGCTTTCTTCCCTTGGCTGCAATTTTGTTCCGGTTTCAACAACCCACAGTATTGAGACTGATACACGTACTTGTCTAAGGCTTTGGCAGCTTCACGAATTCCACGTGCTAGGCCATCGTGGATGAGGGCGGTCTTCAGCACCTCTTGCAAAGCAGTATTCACGTCCATTACACCTCCAGCAGCAATGCTGAAACGGAGCAAGTCAAAACCATCACTAAATTCCCCACACACCAGACGCCCTGGACTCAACAATCACAAAGGCCCTTAAGGCGCCGCCGCTGACCCTGAGACTTCACAGCAGGCTCGCTGCCCATGCCTGTCCCCGCCCCACGACTTCGACCCTGAGCTCACCCTTCCTCGGCCATGGCGGTGGGTTACGGATGGAGCCGAATCTTGACCGCACTGTAATACGAAAAAAAAGAAAAATCAGGAAAAGAAAATTAAGACACCAGTTGGCTAAACAGCTCGGGGCAGGCTCAATCTCGGCCTAAAGGACCACACCACCATCCCAAACCCGCGCAACTCACCCCGAGCTTCCGCCTCCGCGCGACTCGGCGGCGGCAGGGAAAGAGATCGTACGCGCCCGCATGACGGTATTTAAGGGCTTCCCAGGACCCACCCTGGGCGCATGTGCACTCCCTTTCATGAAAGAGGTGGCTCTGATGGTGCCGGGCCTTGAGAATTTCTGTTTCCGGATTGAGGCCACTCCGACACAAGAGTATTCCTAGACTTCTGACTGCGCGGCCGGTCATTGTTACGCGCAACAGGCACCACCGCGGGCAGCCTCACGTCGTCCTTCCCTGCCGGGGGCGTGGCCCACGGAGGCCCAGAGAGCTCGTTCTACGGAGCGCGAGAAGGGCCAAGCGCGCTTCTGTGTGGTCTTCTTAGCTCCCTGGAGCCTTGCCTTATTCATTAAGTCAGTACATTGTGATTTCCTGTCGACCCCATCAACTAGGCCTTCCTATGCCGCACGCTTTCGCGTCGATTCTAGGTTACTCTAAATGTCTGCGAATGTGTCGTTTTGTGCGTGATCCTTGTTTGTTGTAAAACGAGAGCCAGCACGTTTTCACTATTAAGTACACCGCAAATTCTTTCCCGGCGTTGTGTAACTAAAGCGGAACCTCTGATTAGGTGGTTAGTTAGTTTCTAAATCCAGCTGGTTCTAAGTTAGGTTTTGTTGTTTTGGTTTTGTTTTTAACGCTAGATTGTTCCCTAAATTCGTAAACCCGCGCAAATCCGGATTCAGTAGGTGCATTTTATTAGGTGCATTTAAAACGTATGTGCCAAACACAGGAACTGGGTTCGGAATATAGTAAGGAGAGAACATAGTCTTTGAGAAAAACGGCATTAATTAAGCCATGTGGGGCTGGGAGAGTTAGTGGAATCTGAGAACCCTGAAACTGAGACTTTTACCGGAGGCAGCATTTTGAATTTTAAATTGATTGGTCATTCTCCTGTCCCCATTTCAAAACGCAGATATATGAAGTACAGCAGCATATCATCAGTAGTATTTTTTCTTTTTTTTTTTTTTTTTAACTTCCTCTCCTGATAAGCCCCCAAGCCTGTTGTTGCAAGACTTTTTTTTTGGTGGTATGTTCAACAAATGTGTAATTATCTAAACTTAATAAAAGTTAATATGCTAAGGATTAGGTTTCATATTAGATCTTATATCAATCCCATTGATTAAGAGATCCCAAGTTTTAAAAAATTAACTTTTTATTAATTTTTGAGAGACAGGCAGAGTGCGAGCAGCTGAGGGGCAGAGAGAGAGGGAGATACAGGATCCGAAGCAGGCTCCAGGCTCTGAGCTGTCAGCATAGGGCCCGGCCCGATGCAGGACTCGAACCCATGAACAGTGAGATTGTGACCTGAGCCAAAGTCCCACACTCAACCCACTAAGCCACCCAGGTGCCCCGAAATCTTTTTTATAATGTTTATTTTTGAAAGAGAGAGCGCTCACATGCACGCACGGGAGAGGGGTAGAGAGAGAGGATGACAGGGTCTGAAGTGGGCTCCAAGCTGACAGCAGAGAGCCAGATGTGGGGTTTGAACTCATGAACTGTGAGATAATGGCCTGAGCCTGAACCGACACTTAACCAACTGAGCCACGGAGGTGCCCCAAAAACCCAAATCTTAGAATGTGAGAATTTGGTAAAAACTCAAGATACATAAAAGACGAAAATAATCATTTCCAAACAATGTATTTACATGGGGGAAAACCTTTTAGCTTATGTTGTTGATTTCTGTCTTCTGACAGCTGGTAGTCTAAAATATCATGGGCCTATGCCTTAATGTTTCATCTTATAAATACATTTTCTATAAGTTATAAGCCTCTCTCCTTAAAACCAGAGCTCGCTCACTCTCTCTCGCTCTCTCTCTGTTACTCTCTCTATATATGTATTTTAATTCTAGTAATATAGCTGTTTCTAATCCCAGGAATGAGCTTAAAGGACACACTGGTGATTCAAGGAATCTTTAATGTAAATTCTCCTAGTTCACTTGTTTAGGGTTACCTGCTTTCAATTTTAGATACTGCCAAAAGTGGAAGACAGTATTACATAGAGACTAAAGGCCAGAGTCACCGATTATAATACTTCTAGACTATACCCCAGTCTGCATCTGAAATATACATGAAAGATAAATTTTGAGGTTTGCTTTAGGAACAATAAATCCGTAATTTTGTTTAGTATTTTCTATATGCCAATTGATGTGCTCAATTATGTATTTTCTCCCTTGATCACCCTTGAGAGCCTATGTGGCAACAGGAAATATTAGCCTCCTTAACAAAGTACCAAAACAAGCTCAGAGACTTGTTCAAGATCACACAGCTGGTCAATAAGGAAGCTGGTATTTTAGCCCAGTGGGCTTCAAAGCTCATGCTTCCAATCCTTCACCCCTTCGGATGATTGCCCAAATGTGGATGAGAGATCACAGAATTCAACAATGACTCTTCACTTCTCACGTTGAGAATGATGTAACTGGTTCTACTTCACTGTGATAAAAAGTTGGATAGCAGGAGAAAGGGAATATTGCAGCCTCAGGCAGAAAAAGAGAGCAGTAGAATTTGGGTTTTGGATCTAAGTGCAGATGCTGTATCGTTTGCTATAGCTGCCATAACAAAGTATCAAAAGCTGGGGGACTTAAACCACAGAAAGTTATTATGTCACAGTTCTGAAGGCAAGCAGTCTGGAATCCTGTGTCTGCAGAGTTGCTTTCTTCTAGGGCTGTGAGGGGGGTTACTGTTCAT